TAATCTTCATTGTTCTCCTGTGTGGGACATTACTATGCTGGCCTCAAGTATTATTTTCAAGAGTTTCATAAATAAAAATTGTGTACTCAGATCACACACACTGGAGTCTTTTGAATATTTTGGGTAAAATACCTGTCCTGAAAGGACCTGTCAGTGACTTATTCTTTGCAAGGCAAATAATTGCATACAGTGAACTGAAGTACAGTTTTGTAAGTTTGGAACGGGCCTCTGATCTCTGAGAGCCTTTCACACAGCACATGTTAAACTGTGCACCAAACTAACCAGCCTTGCATTGGTGTACAGAACCATCTGTCTTTTCTGTGCATGCAGCTTATACTCTTTGATTTCCAGAGAGATGGAATGGTGCATGCAGCTTACACTTTGATTTCCAGAGAGATGGAATAGTTGCAGAAAGTGCAGTCCTATGGAGTGTTGTGCTAAAGCTATCTTTGAGAAGGGTAATTTTGGTCATAATATCTGACTTTACTATGAGTTTATAATAATACTGTGGCTATGAAAATGAAATGTGGGATTTGGAGTAAGTCTGTAACAAAGGAGGTTTGGGCTGAAATATCGTGTTTATATTTGGTCAGTTTAATTTCTTGTTTAGTTTGTAGCTTGAAACTGAAACTGCACAAGCTGTTGATTTTTATCAATTATACCAAGATTTCCGTTTGAAGGAAAAGAGACAATATGCAGGAAACAGACTGCTGGGAAATAGATGCTGAGTATCTTTAAAAATGAAAGAAAATCGTTTTAACATATTACTTTTCTTGGAAGATTTACTTTATTGGAGCAAATGGCACTTTTCTGTACCATTTGTGCTTTTTAGTATATGTATCAATACTTGCATAAAATATGTTGCTATGGATGGAAAATAACTCCATTTGATTGAAAAGTGTCATGAAGTGAAGAGTTATGCCCTGACAGAGGCCTGCTGTGTTGTGCAGAGGGACATAGGCGAGTCTCTCACAACCAGGTGGGTTGTGTCAAGAGTCTGAAAGAGCTGACCAGTGTCATTGCATGGACATGTTTAAAGGTCCTGGTGACTGGGGTGATTCTTGGTGACTGGTAAAAGGCACAGATGGCCATTTGCAAGAAGGTCGAGAAGGAGGGTCCAGGGACTACAGGTCGATCAGCCTAACCTTAGGCCCTGAGAATATTAGGAAGTATGTCCTGGAAACTGGTTGGAAGGATAAGAAGATGATTAGGATCAGTCGACAGGGATTTATCAAGGACAAGCCAACCAGATAGCTTTTGATGAGAAGTGAGTGACTGTAGGGATGAAGTGAAGATGGTGGGTATTATTGGCTTTAACTGTTTAGACTTTGGACACAGTTTCCCACAGTATATTTTGTAGCTCAGCTGAAAAGACTGGTGGGTTAGGAGGTAAGTTGGAAACTGGCTGGGCTCAGAGGTTTGATCACAGGTTTAAAAAAAAAATCTCATCTATGATGTATTAGGAGTGGAACCTCTTAGGCATTGATGCAGGAAAGGATCTGAAGGTCCAGTTGGATAAGGAGTGTGAGTTGTCAGCAAACCTTTGCAGAAGTTAAGACCAACCTCACACCGTGCTCAGCATTTTGAGAGAAATTATTATTCCTGTACTGTTTGTCACTTATGAGACTCATCTGGAATGTTGTATCTAGGTTTGGGTCTAAACTGAATATTGATATAGCAGAGTTAGCCCTATGGAGGGACACCAAGTTGCTAAGAGGGCAAATGTGAGTGACGTAAGAGAAGCAGTTAAGAAAGCTGCATTTGTTAAATCTTAGAAAGGGAAGCCTAAGAGGGGATCCTACTGCAGCCAAATACAGAGGTGGCCTCTTCTCAGAAATGTGCACTGAAGGTGTTGGAAACTATGGACAAAAACTGCAGCAAGGGAAATGTTGAGTGGATAACAAGGAATTCCACAGTGAGAACAGTCAAGTGTTGAACAAGGCTATCTGGAGGGGTTTTGTAATCTGTGGAAATGCTCGAAACTATGTATGATCCTGTACCTTCCCTAATGTTGAAGTATATTTTTTATTTCTTTTTCTTCACTTAGTACACTGAAATATCTTTTGTTTTTCATTTTTGCTGAACAGACTTCAATGAAAGAGTAACAAAACTAGTTAGTGTAAATTGCTTCAAAAATTCCTGGAACTATACTGATAACATTGTGTGCATGGGAACAAACTGGGTCATTCTCTACTTTTATTTCATCAAAGGATTTAAAACTTCAGGTGTAATACATTAAAATAGACTTCAAATGAGAGGAGCTTTGAGAGCCTATGAAATTAAAAATGGCAATTGTGCTGTTTACAGATGAATGGTGTGGTCCAGGATGATGAGCTGGATCCAATGAAAAGGACTGTTTCTAGCTGGCTCTCCTCCTGTTCTCCAGGGGGCAAAGTGTACTCGTTTGCCTTTGGCCAGCCTCAGCCCAGCCCTCAGACAGGCTCTGAGCCTTCCAGAATCTGGACCTGTGGCTGGGGTAGGAGGCAGTCTGGGATTTCTGGTTTGGGCCCTTTCCTAGGGAGATGCAGCTGGCCATGACTGTTGAACCAGGTGGCTGCTCTTTCTACAAAGTGTTTGAGCAATGGAGGCTGTGGACAAGGAATTTCAAAGCCTGGTGTTGGTCCCTCCAGGTGCTTATGCTGAGAGCATGTACTACCCCTTTCCCTGCTTTTTGCTGTACTCTGATATAATGTGTGCATGAAATTCATGCTGTAGCAAGGAACTTATCCTTGCTTACGAAACACGGGAAAGACTCTGCAAGCCATATTAAGTCATAAATGTGCTCAGCCCTGATAGACTCACTTGTTTCCTGCTGCAGCTAACAATGGGGTTTCTTGTGCATGACCAAAATATTTCTTACCTACCGTAAAACCTTCTCATTCTAGTTCTGTTCAGAAATGTTACATTCCAGAGTGCCAGATTACCCAGCCTTCCATGCAGTATATCCTAGGCTGTACCAAAAATATTATAGTGTACAAACTTTGAGCCTTTATATTTTTGGAACTTAAGTTTAAGTTCTCTTATTTGGTTTTTTAAACTGCACATCAGATGTTTAAGATGAAAACATTTCAGTCAAGCTTTATAAACTGATCAACTTCACTTTTAAGGGATGTGCAAATTGTATGATGGACTTTCTGATGCATGTCAAACTGTGCCATTTGCCATATGGTCATTGAATAGCTAAATAAAAGTATTTTTTTGGTTGGCAAATAGTGAGTAATAAGGTTTCATTATTACACTTTAGGTGTATTATTGAGTGGTAGTAGTATTTTTTTTAAACTGGGAATTGTATGCCTTTAATATGTATTTGGAAGATGTGATTGTTATTGTTTTTTCAAATGTCTCTAAAGCAATGGTGCGTCAGGGAGATGAAAAACCAAACCAGGGGTTTGTTTTCCCCTTCCTTATGTTTCAAGGAACAGCATATTTGGCTAGCATGTATCAAAGCTAGATCTAGAGTTGTGAGGATAAATTGAGCAGAAGGTGCGCAGTTTAGGCAAAACCAAAGGCGTGTGAAGAGGCATAAAGGTGCTCTTAAGAGAAGATGCATGCAGAAAGTGACACTTCAAATTGTTGTCTGATCTGGAGATCAGGAGAAGCTTTAGTGGTCTCCTTTCGGTGGACTTTGGGAATGGAACTGACACTACAAATTTAAGATTGATGAATTTGACAACTATGATCAGATGAAAATTAAGCAGGCTGGTAACCAGGTGGCATCTCCGGTGTGATTTGTCTTCATCAGGATGCTAAGAACTTTTCCAGTAGTGCTTAAACAGTAAAACATAAGTGAATGGTAGTTGAGAACAAATAAATGTTGAGCTTACCATGGATATCTCTCCCAGCACACTATAAAAAACATAAATGGAAAAATGAGTGCTCCCTTGATGCTTCTGTTATTTTGTCTGGTCTCTTAACTTTCTCTCGAAGAAATTGTGGTTTAAGAATCAGCAGTTAACTGGAAGTTTTAAGGAAAAAAAAAGTTCTAAGTTTTCGTCTTTCTACTTGGTAGGACATGTTACAGGACAGTATTGGTCCTTATAGCTTACTGTAGAATGGCTTGTACTGAAGTTTGCTATAATTAAAAGATAATGCTGATTCATTTATACTTTCTGAAAGATATATATTTCCTGAGGGAAAGCTCTTCTTCTACAGTAACACTGACTTCTGCATGCCCTGGTCTTTCTGTCCCTTTTCATAACCTCTAGGGACAGTGCTAAAGGTGATGAGCACTTTTCTGACTGATAACTTTTTGCCTTTCTCCTTTCTAAAAGTCTATTTTATTTATTGATATTACATATTTGGATTATTCAGACATTGTTTGCAAGACATGACCAGGTCTTTTCAAGTCCAAGATTTTTACAGCACTCTTCTCACTAGAGGAAGAACTAACACATTTCAGTAAAATAAGTTTAGTGGCCCTGGGTAGAGGATGACCAGTTTCTTAGGTAAGCCCTAAGAAACTGGGAGAGTGATGAAAATGGACTTTCATACCTGGGATACTTTCAGACTTGGGATGGTTGGAGCCTTAACAAGGTCTGAGTGAAATCTACAGACAAAATATGAATGGCGATCAAAGACATCATGAAGGACATGTAACTTCAAACAAATAAATTAATCCAATATCAGTATTCATATTTGAAAACAGTTTTTTGGTAAAGTGAGTATCAGAAGTATATCTTGTCATGTTCAGAAAGCTACATAAAGCTTTGGAATCAAGTGCTGCTTTTTAAGGAGGAAGGCGAGAATACTGACATTAGGTTAGTGTTCTAATTCTTTATATCTTAAAACTCATGAGACTTGATTCTACAATGAACCAGGCTGGGAAAAGATAAATTGAAAAGTAAAACAAAGTACTACATGACTTATGATAAACCTGAGTACTGGATGCTGTGTTTGCTTTGATTAGTTTCTATTTAAAATTCAGGCAATGGCTGTCTCCACTGAAACGGTAGTGAAATAAAATGATTTCTAATATTTCCTGTCTTTGGTTTTATTTACAGATGACATGGCAGAGCTTCTCCTCGGGGAGTCCAAACTAGAACAATTTTTGAAGGAAAATACTCTTAAACAGAGTAGTAGTCCACGGGGCCCCCAGCCAAAACTGACTGAGGTCAGGAAACATCTCACGGCAGCTCTTGATAGGGGAAATCTAAAGGTATGTAAATCAGCCTGAGCAAGAATTAGAAAAGTTGAAATTGTAGTATTGAGGAAAGGTTCCTTAAATTGTATTTGGAGGTGCAGAAATTGAGGTTAATATCTGAGAGCATTTTCTGTCAGAACCTTTTGATGCTCTTAACCATTCTAGCCCTTCTTTTACTTAACTGTTGTTGTAGCTGCTACATCAACTTATCTCTTCTGTACTCAACACCCATCTTTTGAGAGATTAAAAGAAGCTTGTTTTACAGTCATCTATAACATTTTGTTTCCTGTGGTTTCTGGGAGTATTAATTTCTCTTCCTTTTCTTTCTTTATTCATCCATTAATCTTCTTTTTCAAGACATTTATTCTGCCCTGATACTTTGAACTCGTGTGAATTAAATATGTAGACTGTGGAACATATATCATTAAGTTTTGATGCCATGTTGATTTTCAACTGTGCTTATGGTGTTAGAGAAAACATTGGAGGGGTTGTAATGATAGGCTACCTTTAAATAGTTTTTTGTGGATTCCCCCCTACCTCAAGCTTCTCAAATATTACAGGGGACAGAATTTTGTTGGTTTGTTGCTCTGTTAGAAGAAATATTCTACATGAATATATACAGGAAACACATCTAATAATTATTGGAAGGAACTAGGTGTGTTTTCCGAGGAAAAACCCTTTCTTATTTCTCTTCTTTCTAGCCAGAATTCCTACAGGAAGCTAACCTAATTATGGCCAAATTAAACTATGTGGAAGGTGATTACAAAGAAGCTCTGAATACATATGCCAGAGTTGGCATTGATGACTTGCAGCTCACTGCAGTGCCACCGTACAGGCTACGGATGATTGCTGAAGCATATTCTACAAAAGGTATGATTGCTCTTTCCAGTATCATAATGTGTTTTAAAACTTAATTTATATCTTGTCTGAAGTTGAATTTTTTTAGTGTGAATATCATCAACACAGTAGTGGAGTACCATATTCATAGATGAAATAAGAGGATGGCTTGGGTCCTTTAAATTATTCAGAGTTTGTGCTAGGCTGACAGGACATGTACCTCAATTAATATTCTGACTGCACTGTCACCTGATCAAGTTTTTTGCGTGTGTGTATTTAAAAGTCCTTCTGTATATAAATGTCACAGTAACTGTTGCTAAATACTAAAAAGTTGCTGAAAGTTAAGAGTTACAAAAAGCAGTGCAGTTTTGTGGTTGCTGTGGGCAGAATGGAGAACCTTAATTCACTGTCATGCCTTTTACTGAATGTTAAAATGCTCAACCTAAGCTATGTCACATAACTAAATCGCCACTTAATTGAGAAAAGTAGTAATGTGTGACTTACAAGTTTTATTTTTGAAATTTTCTTACATGGATATAGTTTTTTAAAAACAGAAGTGAAGTTAATTAAAAAGTATTTTGTTTTTTACTGGTCTAGTATAATTGTAATGCTGGCCTTGTGTCTTAAGGTGGCAGTGCCACTTCAATTTAGAAAACTGTAATAGACTTCAAGCTGGGTCAGTGTGTTGAGGAAAGTGTCAGTTTGTATGCCAGAGGTTTATTAAAATTTACTGAGCTAAATGTTTGCTTTGGTCTGTTGTGTTTAAGCTTGGGTTGGGTTGCACATGTACTTTTTGTTAAGGCAAGAGGAGTGTCAAAGGCAGCAAACAATTTGTGAGAGACTTCAATAGTGTTAACTGACAACTGATCAAGGATTGTTTCTAATGTTAGTCTTGGAAGAGAGTGACTGATTTCCACCAACACAGTCCTCTAGTAAACGTTAGACAAGCATGAATCATGCTCTATAGAGGTGTCAAGGAAATAAGGGAAGTAACTGGTAGCAGAGACAGAAGGATGCTTCATAAGTCTGGTCACTATTTAGATCACAGTGGGAAGGGAGTATGTGGGGAGTTCTACATGATGTGAGTCTGCCCAGTTTTCTCACACAACATCTGTGTGGGCTTCTGAGCAATGTCTGGTTTGGGTACACTTCCACTCAGCCTTGTGGATTTTGGCTGGGTTTTTTTGTCTTGTATTGTTTTTTAAGTGTGTGAGGATGTCTGTTGAATTTGTCATGTTCTTTCCAGGAAAATGCAGTCTTGGACTTGATCAACTTTAAGTACCTAAATTTGCTTATATCTCCAAGGAATCCCAGTAATTCAACTGAATCTTTTCCCAGAGCTCAACTCTTTGTTTTATTTGACCTCATAAGGATATAAAATGGTTGAAACATAGTGGCATAAATTTTGCAGAAAATATTAATATTAATAATTTTACTTAATTTAAATATAATGTATGCAAAAATAGAAAAATATGTATCTTTTCTACTCTGGAATGTTTTGTTGGTTCAGATTTAGAGATTAAAAGAAGAGATAAGAAAACCAGCATATGAAGCCTTATTTATCTTGATTGGATTTTGCTGGTTTGGTCACTTCTACTGGGTGACTCGCTACCAGTTTACCTGAGCAAACCAAGCAAACTGTTGGGGTTTTGTTGTTGTTTTGTTTGTGCTCAGAAACATCCTTTTTTGTTTCCAGTTTAAATGGAATTGAAAGGGATCTTAAAGATCATCTAGTTCCAAACCCCCTACCGTGGGTAGGGGCACCTTTCATTAGATCAAGTTGTTCAGAGCCCCATCCAACCTGGCCTTGAGCACTTCAGGGATGGGGCATCCACAGCTTCTCTGGGCAACCTAACCTGTTCCAGTGTCTCACCACCTCCCATAGAGAATTTCTTCCTGATACGTAACATAAACCTGCCTCCTTTCAGTTTAAAGCCATTCCCCCCTGTCCTATCCCTACCTGCCCTCAGTCCCTCTCCAGCTTTCTTGTAGGCCAGTTTAGGTACTGGAAGGTGCTCTAAGGCTCCGTTGAGCCTTCTCTTTTCCAGGCTGAGCAACTCCAACTCTCTCAGCAGATTCATAAATTTTAATTTCCCTTATTCCCATGGTAGAAGATTGCAAGAATATAGTCCTTTGTATGTTCTAGAATGAGGTGGTAATCGCAGAGCAGTCTTAAATTTAGTATTCAAAGTCTAGACAGGTTAAAGTACTTAACAACTAAATAACATATGCTTCTACCCAGTAGTGTGCATTTATTTCTCACTCTCTTTCCCCTTCCGGCTGGATTCTCTTCTTTCTCCTTGTAAGAGTGGACTATAAACTTTATAGTCTGAATTTGGAGTCTCTTCAGAGGTGATTGAGGTTTGTAGCTATTACGAGTTATTCTTACAGGGATTTTGTGCTTCACTTGGATTTGTATTTCTTGTTGTAAGTTCAAGGATAACTGGATTATATAAAGATAGAACTCTTCAGGGTACGTAGACTTATTTCTTTGGCAGTCATAGCACCACGATATTTAGCAGTGAGGGACTATCTGCAGCTGTTTGCAGTGGCCCAGCTGCACTATGCAGTGCTGCAGCCTGCAGAGACAGTGAAAGGTACCTGCTGGATTTGCCCCATTTCAATCCAGTTCCAGTGGATTTGCAGTCTCGTATGCTGTTGTGTAGTGGTCTGATACTGCTGTTCTTACCACTGATAAAAGCATAGGGCAGATAACTAATGGCAGTTTTTAATTGCCTTAAGGTTTTTTTTCCTTATTTAAGGTGGGACCACTTCCAGGTGCTTACCTTCTCACTCAGCTTTCATTCTGTAACCTCAGAGATTGAGTGGGATGCTTGAGTTGACACGCTCCCTCTTCTACAGTTCTTACAGGGTACTTAAATGAGCATGTTGCACTGTAACTGTTGAGAGTTCCATAGCTCACAACAAGCCCTTGGAAATGACCTGCTTTCCTCATCTTGCTCTTGCATGAGGAACATACAAACTATGTCTTTCTGTTGTTCACAGCACAGGAAGATTCAGCATTCGTGTATGGATGCAGTGAAGGGCAAAATGGGTTCAGGGGCAGGTTCAAGCTAAATTTTGCTGGAGTGTTATCTAGTGATGGCTAGAAAGAAGGGGAAGAGGAACAGCACTAGTGACAATGATAGGGAGAAAGAATGGAATTGGAACGTGGAAGGGAAAGAGAGATCCCTAAAGATATGCTCAACTCTTGGGGAGACGTGTGTGTTTATGTATGTGTATATATATGTGTACATATATAAATATATGTTTGTATGTATTTATGTTGTTAGAAAGTAAGTTGTGAGAAAAATCCGAAGAGGGAAATTCTACCTCTTCAGACTCTCCAGAGTTGAGTGTGTGTGAATGCATTACTCATCAGGGTTGTTTGTATACTTCACTGCAAAATCTTCATTAAATTACAATAGTCTGCTTTACAAAAGTCTTTGTTAGGATAGTCCAGGAAATTTAGTGTCATTGCACCCCTGAAGTCTTCAACTTGGAATAACTGTGAAACCAAAGAACTAAAGCTATCTGCTGCTTGCAGCACACTCACAAAGAAGTCCTCAGATTTTTTATTGCATAAATGAGTTAAATGCATATATGTCTTTCAAAGAATGCTTTTAATTCGCTATGCTGTCTATAGCTTTAGTTGTGGACAGCCTGGTTATAAGACCAATAGATTTGTCAAAATGCAACGTTGTAGAATTTCAACAAAATTTCAAGAAAAAACTATCAAATTACCTTTGAAATGTTTTCTGTTTCCTTTACATGTGGCTCTTTGCCAGCCTGTGATGTGAAGGGAATCGGAGGGTCTCAGTGCCTGAGCGATGTTGGAAAGTGGTTCCTCTCTGTTGCTCCTCCTAGAGAAAGTGTTCAAAATTGTTAATGTGGTGATAAAGGCATGGCTGTATTTTATCAGGCTGAAGAGCTTATAGATAGATTTGGGTTTAGTTTTTTCCTGGCTTCTGGCAACAAAAAATGCTGCTAGTGGTGATGCATTGTGCTTAATCCTGAATTAGAAGAAGATGTAAGATGGTGTGATGAAAATTTATCTGCTACTGTGTCCGTTAAAACAGCAGGGAGTAGACTGGCCATGTGAATGCTCGATGCAAAGCCTCAGAAACTTGGTTAGAATAGGCCAGGACAGCACTGTTTAGATATCCCTCATGTAAAAATTGCGAGGAGATAGCTACCTCACGGTAGCTATCTGTGATATTTTCGTGCCTTTCTTCACCATTTCCTGAAATTCACAGGTTAAAAACAGAGTTGTAGGAGAGAATAATTTTCTTTTATGTAGTTAACTTTATGGACTAACGTACTTTTTTGACCTCACACTGAGTTTTTTATGTGTGTGTGTTTGTGCCCATAAAATACAGTTCTGATTAGACCTGGTGATTCCTTTACTTTAAGAAAAGAGCTAATTTTGATGCTATGCTTCTGAGTAATGGCTCTGTATGGGTATGTAGAAGGTGTTGTGTGGGATAGAATATTAATAAAATCATAGGTTTTATATTAAATACATAATTTTCAAAGATTCAAAGCCTTACTTGGAGACATTCAGGGGGACATTTAAAAAATATAATACAAAACATAAATTGAAAAGATGGAGCTTTTCAAATCAGTGGTCCACTTAGTATTTGCAAAAACATGAGAATGCTTATTTGGATCTGTTAGGGAGCTTTTCTCCCATCTGCTTGTAAATTCATTTGACACAAAAGCAAAGGAGAAGCATCTGATAAAACAATTTGCTGTAGCAAAATGCCTGTGGTTGGAGGTGCCAGCTTATTTCAAGATTGTGTGATGAGGGAGAGAAAAATAGGCATAGAAGGATGACATTGCTGAGGAAATGGGCAGGTTTGCATGACTCTGTTGTTCCAAAGTGTTAGCCTGAGGGCAGGTGTGTGAACATTGCTGGAGCTGATTCCCTGAAGCTGTTGCCTGTTAGTCACAGGAGCACATCATACCTTTTAGTATGAAGTTTTAAGGAGCAGTACAATAAAAAGATTTTTTTCCTTCTGCCACAAAAATAA